GTCACAAGGACTGCATTGCTTGTGGTCATTTCAGCAATGGCGTCGGCAAGGACGTAGAAGAGTTAAGATTTGTTAGTGCTGTCTCGGAGGAAGCTCTTCCAGTTTGCAGGCAATTTGCTCTTTGCGATAACTCTCCTCCTGATGGCCTTTCCACGTTTAGATCTGGCTTCTGACTTCAGGCTAGTCTTATGGTATACATCGAAAATGACGTTTATTCTCTTGTGTGTGTTGCTGTAGTTCTCCACCAAGGGAAGGATATCCTTTTTGGTAAATTCCTCAAATGTCTTTGGTGTTTTCGGTGCAATGGTATTCACCAGTGAGGCCCCATCAACAATCAGAACATCAGATTCTGGAAGCTGGACTTTCCCTTGGAGAATTTCCACAAGATCTGACTTGGTACTTGAACGTAGATTACCATTCTTGCTGAGAGAGGGGGAAAAGATGTGCTCTCTCTGAGTTGTATAAGTCTGCCAAGCATCGAAGGTAATACTTCAGCTATTGGGCAACAACATCACCAGCACTTAACTTTGCTAGGAGCTTTCCGTTGTTTAGGCTCCGGGCACATGGATTAAGCCTTTCATTCAGCTGCATGGTCATCACCTGTCTTAAATTCGATATTTCTTCGCATAAGAAGCACTGTACGTTTGGAGGGTCTGAGGTCCTTTGTCTCTTCCCAGGGCTCTCTTCTTTGCCTGCTGTACTGGGTTAACTGTCCTTTTCTATGCTCTTGTCAGTTTTGTATTATTGAACAAAAGTCGGCAGCTGTTGTGATATTTTGCTTTATTTCGTATCAGTGTGGCTTCTATGCCTTCATCTAGCCGTGCTGGATTAAATGGTATTGGCATATCATTAAGGACATGAAACAGTGGCACATTTTTTTGCAATCTTATTATATCCGTCATAGTCCTGTTTTCTCTGAAATGAGGTAAGAGGTGAAATTAGAGCTTCATCCCTTTTGTCCGGTCAGTTTGCTGTCTTGTTTTCACATCCATAGTGAGAGTTGTTGAAGTAGTGTAGACCGAGGGTTTATCCTTTTACCACCTTGCCCACTTTGATGTATGGGATACAGTTAGGTTCATGTTGCTGCCCTATACCTAGCCCGATCGTTCATCCAATATCTTTTAAATCCCATGCGATCTGTACACCATCCGGATAACAATAAAGCCCCTGTTATCCTTGGCTTGGCTCTCCAGCGCTGGCACATCCTGTCCTTTCAGGTACGGCTATTCCATCCTAGGAGTTGACTAGATAGCATTTAGGATACTAAACCGAAGTTTAGCTGATATTGAACCCCATGCTGAGTTCCACAGCAGTGTCTGTTACCAGCGTGCCCTGGTAGTGAGCGACATACACTCTCTTGATAATATTCAGCACCACCTTCCTTCTGTGGTTTAATTTCGTAGTTTTCGTTCTCTTAGATGAACTGAGCTCATCCTCTTTGTCACCCCGGCATTAGCAGCCCTTTTTAGGGGCAACAGTCTGAAAAAATGGACGTTTATGTCAGTTTTTGGTGTGCTGGCAGCCATATTGAAATTTTTGTTGGCCAGCACTTTTGTCTGAAAAAGTGACTTACAGAGAATATTCATACAAAATGTCATGCTTGTATCACCAACTGAACGATTATGCCAAAAAAATCACCTTTTGCTGCTCCACTATGTAGAAATTACTGAATGAAGTATGCACGATTAGTCGGGTTTGGCAGAGAAATTGGTCTGGTATGGTTTTATACTATTTAACTTCATATGAATAGCCGGTTTCTGACATGGAACATATTTTTACCAGAACTCTCCACCCAAGTTTATATTCAGTGCATTAGCAAAAGGAAACAATGCGAAAGTGGTCCAGTTACAGGTATATAACATTTCGTATATCAAAACCTGATGAAACCTTTTTATGCATGAACCTCAGTTCAAAATCATTTTTACTTGGTTATATGTTTAAAAACGGGACATACGAATTCATATCATCTAGTTTCAGTTAGGTTTGACCTGTACTACAGTGTATGTCATTGTCTACAAGCTTACAATACGTGATTGAATGCGGATGTTTGATATTATTTCACATGTCATGAAAATCAATGAGTAGCAACTAACTTTTTATATAAACTCCTACAGCCTTGCACTCCTGTAAGGAAAGCATTTGGTTCTACCACTGGCCAAGCCATAGTAAATATTATATTTCCTCTTTTGAGACCTTTTCAGGCCAGATGATACAAAGGTCACTGGTCCTTCGAAAGCTTAAATGTTATTTGTTCTATTCAAGGTATTTAGGAATGGTAATCATGTAATTTTACTTATTGAAAAAGATTTGATCGGTGTTAAAACAACATGAAGATTCCTGTATACATTATATAGAGAAGATCATTGTGATGGTTTGTGTTTGTTTGAGTGGTTTAATCTTTTCCCCATTGTTCTGGCTGTTTGTTCTATCAGATACGAATTGCATAGCCACCTATTATTTTATGTATTATGTGATATGTAAAAATATCCTAATTGTCCGTCTTACAACAGCTAACATATTATCTTTTTTTGTTGTTGTTTGATGCCCATTTACCATGTTTTTTTTATTTTACTTGTTTTGGCGCTTGTGACTTTTCTGGTGTTGCAGCACACTTAAGAATTGTTTTAAAAACACATTTTCCCGGAGATCACTCTACAAGTAAGCACTTTTGTTTTGAATGGCCTAAATGTAGTTATGTTTGATAGACCTATGCATTTTAATGTGTGGCTTGAAGTGATTTCTGGCTTAAAAGCACTTCATATGCTAATATACAGTCCTCATCTCCCCTAAAATGCGGACATTTTCCCAAGACTTATAACACAACGCTGTGTCAATGATATAAATCAAACCACTTTTATTGAGCAACAAGATGAAATGTTTTTCTTTATTTTTCTCATTATATTCAATAAATATATGATTTCATATACAGGTCACCTTATCACGCACTTCGTTCCTATATATTTCTATCAGTCACACGTGCAATCGTACGATACACATTTTAACGGAAGCACATGCATTTTAGGAGACAGGAAAGCTAGTCAATTAAGAGGACGACGTTCTATCATTTCGTTATAACATTACTTGGTACAGTCTTTTACTCGTCAACATACATTGTATATCTAAATAAGATACATTATGAACATTTGAATGATTAGACCGAAAATCTGAAATTTGGACTTAATACGATGTCGTTAAATTCAAAAACAAAAAGAACAATACATTTTATAACACAAGTTTGAACATGTTTCGATTTATCCGTTAAACAGCAAATTGACCTACAACTCTGACCGATTATCACTGGAACATAACAGGTAAGGAAATAAGCTCTCTTTGATTGTACTTGAGAGATTGCAAGAGACGCTTGATATGGTATTTTGAACGATGTTTGCCTGTGGACTTTATTTTGTGACGGTATAGAGATTCGTTCAATTCATGTAGCGACAACAACTGCAATGACTTTACTTTACCAAGGTATAAGGTGAATCTCTTTAGTATAAAACTAAGATTTCGCATGAATTTATCACTACAAATCACATTTTTGAAATCCTGACTGGGTGTGTCACATTTCTAGATTTTAGATTCTAAGCATAAATATTTCAATATGTTTCTTAATCAAAGATAAGTATAAACCAAGATCCTTTCTTATTCTATTTCCGTTTTACAGTGACAGACATATTTCTTCAGATTAAATTGATTATGGAAGAATTAATATCAACATGGACAGGATTGAAATATATATTTTCCGTCTCTTCCACTATAAATTATTCTTAAAAAATACTGATTTGACTATAAATAAATTTCTTTTTAATAAAACACATTTTTAAAAAAGAAGATACCGTTCTAGCTGGAATTTATTTTGAAACGCCATCTGCTTTCTAGCTTGTGGTCATTGTCATACAAACACAAGATGGCGGCGTCCGTCGGCAACTTGTGAAAGGTAACAAATGATTGTTAATCGGGAATATTTTCAGTTCGTTTAACTTATGACTGTGTTATATAATCCTTCGGAATAACATTCATGGTATGTGCATCAATGCTAAGGTAAGGTGATCGCAAAATGAAGACATAATTCAAATAGAAATTGTGACTGTAAATAGCTTGGATGATGTGAACATAATACGACAAAGGGGTTGAAGCCTTAGCTGGGACTTTTCTTTCTTTCCTGTTTTCTCTGACATTTTTCGTATGGAAATGGTAAATACATAAACTATGCAGCAAGAGTCTTTTCCTAGCAACTAGGTTTTTTCTATTTATTTTTGTAAAATGTTTTACTCTATCTCTGGATCATGCGTCAGAGAACCCAAGTATTTGGGATTTTAAACAAAAATATCGGCATTTAGTAGACAATGATGGCATATATATGTAAATAAATATTATCGTTTGGCTTGTCTCATTCTAAATGTCTGATGAAAGATAATCATTATGATGAAAAAATATCCCCGAACCCAAATAATTATAATAATAATGAAATGATAACAGAATTATTGAAAACTGATACAAATATTTTCCTATTCTTCATATTATTATGAATCGAAAATGACACCAGTTTCTAAAATCTTATCTTTTAACAAAAACATCATCACTAGAATAAAAATAAAAAATTGCAACTTTGAACTCATGATCTCCATACCTTCTTATCCTAAATGAGTGGTGTAATAATCATGATTCTCAACTGTTTTTGCTTTTAACATCCGGGTTGTTTTTATTTTCGAGGTGCTTATACGTTTGTGAATACTGATTTGATTGATTTGATTTGACGGCATGAACATTCCACTAACATTTATTGTGAACCAGTATATACAGATCCATAAAGGTATAATATACTCTTATCAATAATAAAAGTTGCTGGAATAAATCACAATATATGCAGATACCATACCATTGAAGGCATTAAGCGTATGTTACAATATAATGCGTCACAAACAAATTAATGGCATAGTTAAGCTGCTAACAATATATCAAATAAGCCAGTGATATACTGATAATTGGCCGCATGGCAATTAAAAGTCTGAATAACTTTCACTTTCTAGAACTGGCGATCCAAACATTCTCTTGTTGCACGGGGAATGTTCAGACCTTCGAAAAAGAAAGGTTCGCGAAAATCTTCTACAATGAAGAATTCTTCGAAATGCAAATCTAAAATCTCTAGAAAATAACGCATATATGAAAGGATTTATCATTGAATTACAATATCCAAGCCAGAAAAATATTGAAAAGGCTAGTCCAGGTACACAATCGGCACAAAATGCTTCAATTAAATAAATGGTAAAAAAAGGAAACCAACAAAGAAGGAAAGCCCCGACTATAATAGCAACGGTTTTTGCGGCTTTCGTGTCCCTCAGAAATTTCCGTATGTTAATTTTTTGATTTGATTGTCCGTCGTTGATGAAAAGCACTGAACGATGGCGTCTATTTGTCTGACCAATGTTCCTGTTGCTAACCACTACTTTTCTGTTTTGATAGGGACTTTCTGGATAATGCGATCGTGTTGAGGTTGAGGTTCCAAGGTACACGGCAACACTATCACTCGCAGGATCTGGTGTGCACCTGTGTTTCTGGCGGTAAGTTCCATTCCTTAAATCAGGATCGGAGAAATTATGAGCAATAGATCTATTGTTATTATTGCAGGCGATGGGGCGATTACGTATCGGTAGAAGTTCAATATCGCTGTTGCAATTTGCCATTTTTTCGTCCTTATTACATATGAGATAAGATGCCCTTCTACTCGATATGTTGGATGGTGACCGGTAGATAGACCCACCTCCACGATGCACACGGAGGGCGATGGTATCGACTTTCTGACACTTGTTAGCAGGTTCATCTGTACGTTTAGTCATCAATATTCCTGTTCTGAGCGACGCGGCCGTGCGTGTAGCAGCTCTGTAGATTCGACAGTAGAAAAACGACATGATAAACATTGGAATATAGAATGATCCGAGGGCAGCATATATTCTATAACCTTTCGTCGGAGTTAGTTCACACTCGGGATATAGTTTCACGCACACCGTGTCATTCATATCCTTTTCGTTGTATAAATTGTCTGTGGTTGATCGATTACTCCAGTTAGTATAATTATCCTGTTCTATTTCCGTGATCAACCAGCTATCATGTTTCTGAATTCCGTTATTCTCGTCATTCCAACCAATCAGTGGCGGGAATGAGATCACAAATGACAACACCCAAACACACATCACTAAGATTTTCCCTCTCTTTTTTGAAACAAGGCTTGGGTATCGAATAGGTTTGGTGACCGCTAGAAATCTATCTAAGCTTATGGCACAAAGGTTTAATATGGATGCTGTACAAAGAAGTACGTCAATTGCCAGCCACATCGTACAAAATGGCTGTCCGAAAGGCCAAAAGTGCAATACTTCTAAAGCAGCAGAAAAAGGAAGTACAAAAATAGCGAGAAGCAAATCTGCGCATGCCAAAGACACTATATAAATATTTGTAATGGTGCGCAACTTCCGGTTTCGGATTACAGCCGTAATTACTAAACTGTTGCCGAGTAGTACGACCAGATTGATACACCCAAGAGCAATGCAGGCAACAATCATTCCAGGATTCAAGTCATAGAATGCAACCCCATCTGCTCCAGTGGAACAATTCTCCATTGTTACAGTTATGAGGTAGATTGATCACATATCACATAAAATCTCCATTAAAAGAAAAGTGTTGTCTATTAAAAAAATCTTAAATAGTCTTTCTGAGTTTTTAGAAAGAACCATAATGTTAATACACTTAATGATTACAAATAAATTCAATAATAAAAATTGGAACATGTCTTTCTGCTTGGAATGTGAACTAATAGAACAAATTACATCCCGATTGACATGTTTCATTTATCACTACTGATAGTGAGAACAGAGAAGCTAACTATACGATTTATAATCTGAATTCATAAACATCTTTCCACCTGCAACTCTTACTGAAGTTCAGTTTGTGCCTCCCGAATATATGTTCCGACATCAATAACGGCAAAGTGTCAATTTCTGATTTAGCTGTTACATTGCCCTTCAATAATCACAGTTTTATACCACGGATCTTGATAACATAGCTATCCAAATTTGTCACATTTATACACAAGTCCAACTGATGTTAAATATTTTTCATCAGTAATGTTTTCACTTACAGCAATGTGTCTAAAGTTGTATAGTTTGTAGCCATTATTTGTATGTCCCGATGTAATTACACCATGCGAATGGATATCAATGAGTCTATAATCTCTTTCAGTAATCCAAAGTTATGATGACTTTCGTAATCGGCCTTGCACCACCTCTGTCAAAAGTTTCGTCACCGTCATTTTCTGAAACATAGCAATTAAGAAAAAAAAATATTATTTGCAATGCAATATCACCATATCAAGGTTTACTTAAAGTACAATAAAATACTTTTAACGCACAAACCTATATATATAACATCATTTGGCATAGTCACTGTTGTCATAAACGTGTTGTTGATAATTTTTAAATGAGTTGTACAAGTGACAGCTGAAAATTTTGAAAATAAGATCGATGATACTAGATACTGTCCACCAAACATCGTATATATGCTTGGGATCAAAACAGAGGCAACAGGGTTTGTTATTGACTAACTTGTAATAATAAACTGTAATAATTCCTATTTATACGACTATTTAAAACATGCATGTACTATGATGACTGTTTTAACAACATTTGACCACATATCGATAATTTATCCCAACTTAAATTCAATAAAGTTATGGCAAACTATAAACAAAATAAAGATTCACACGGAGACTTATGCAAGAAACACAAAGAGTAAAAGACCACGTATTCCGGAATAGTTAGCATCGTCTGCTGTATTAACGATACCCGTCAAGTAAAACGTCAAATCAAGTAAGTAATGTCACGTTAGAGAACAAGGTATACAACAACGGAACAAGCAAATCAATGTGTAACAAACATACCCAGCTCCATATCGCACAAGCAGAATAGTTTTACAATTAGTTCTCTACGACCTTAATACACCCGAACAAGTTTCATCAACCTTCAATTTTTTAAACGCTGTTATGAGTTTGGCGGCATCTTGCACAAAAATCGTGAAAACGGGAACAGGCCCTTGCATATCGAATCACATGTAAACATCATAGGTTGGGACTGCATGATATCTTGCTATTCAAAATTGAAAACTCATCACACGTATCATACATATCTGTCCGTAATGGTTTCGGAAAGACCGAGTTTGGCAGCTGACGTAGAAGAGTCTGTCTGTTAATTAAAAGGTCAGAATAAATGATGTATGTAAATAACTAGAGTCTGTTTTATGGTGGATGTGTGTCTACATCCGACATGTTACTTACCACGCACGGACGAATATTCACACGACTGAATTGTAGGTGCATTCATGACGCTTTATTTGTATGTAGTTGGCATATCGATAACATCATCAATGACATCCGTGGCAATGTACGCCTCCGATATTTCCAGATTGTGAGAATTTATTTCATATCAGTTTTATGTTTAATAAGGATCGAAACAAAAGTCTGGGAGAACGATCAGCGTCATCATTTGGTTTAAAAGTCAGATGATTGTTATAATTAAAGTGGACGTGGGAAGAGATAAATCTTCAGAAAAAAATGTTTGTATTTTCAAGATGGTCCAATAAATAAAATTTTAATAGCTTTCAATTAGACTATTGTTCAGAAAGAAACTTTAATCTTATATTTATAGATACACCATTTCCTGCACGACACAGCGAGAAAACTAAATTAACATCATGTGAGAGAGCAAGTCTGCAAACAATCAAACTCGGTGCATGTCTAGGCTATTGAGCGTGGCAAGTAGACATTAAAGTTCGCAGTATGGATGAAAGGAATTATATTCTTTTTAAAAAGCCCTTGAATAACACCGTGTTCGTGATTTACAGATCTCAAAGGTTGTTTTTAGATTAAACAGGAGGCGTACAAGGTCGTAATGCAAATTGATGGTGAAATATGTATTTGGACTTTGTATGTGCTATAATGGTATAACGTTCCAGTAGATATTGGACGAGCTTCAATCAAGTTTCCGTTGTAAGTTAAGTACAGCGATTCTTTGTTAACCTCTGTCTTCAAACAACCTATAAGGTTCAATATATTAGAAATTCCTTTTGGTTAATTAATGCATAATTTGATGGTAAACAACAGATGTTTATTCGTAATATATCTAAAGTGAAATGGACGACTGTAACTCATTGTCTGTTACCACTTATTGTGTAATATAGGAAAACCTTGACCAGGAAATTCTCTATTTCATTTAGTGTTGTTATACGACCGATTGTGATTTAGAGTCGAATGCTTATGAAGTGTACCCCCGATGCATCATCGTAAGAGGCAACTTTACATGAACTTTTTATATTTTTTTTCTTACTTAATGACTCCTATGACGCTGCTTCGCTTTTGGTCTGGAAGGGTATTCTTCATGGTTTATTAGTACTTAAGTGCAGTAACAGCAGAAAGTCGGCCTCATTTCCGCGCTTTCAAAATGAGACCTGCACTAACATATCGCCACCCCTCTCCCAAAATCACGAACGAAACACGTGCACTAACTTTTCAAAGATAGAGAGACCGTTCTTATGTGACCATTGACTGTTGAAAGAGTTGTAACGTAGACGGACATGTAAGATCAATACAAAAGTATAAATGATACAAAGTGACACACGGGAACTTGTTTACGCAGGAAAGAAAAACATTTTAATTTCAAGTTTCTAGGTTTTGTAAATAACTTTGAGTTTTACGGAAAATCTTATTACATTCCTGATCTAAGATGATAACATTCATTCAAATAATACTGTACTAATACTGACTGATAAAAGACCCCTTTATTTAGCAATTAGGTAATGTAATTCCATTGTAGCAGTTTTAAACTGCAACTGATTTTATTAGCAAGATGCAGAGAGAGTCGAATATTCAACGAGAAATACTACATGTGTATATCAGTTACCATATTTCTCTCTCTTGATTAAACTTGTTAATACGCATCTCATTGAAATGCTCAACTACTAAAACATTCTTCTAATAACTTGATATCCAGAGGTGCTAAGGTACCATATCAAATTCCTATGTGTTCCTAATAACGTGATGAATCGATTTGATCTGGACTTCTTGTTAATGAAGCTCATCAGAAATCTTTAATCCTATTGGAGTATGATATTTGTCTATTTTTTCCATCTCCGAACACGCTAAGGCTTTTGTTGCTCGGCAGAACATTTGTTCATCTAATACGTGAATGCGTTTTCACATTGCAATCGAAACTAATGTCTAAAGAAATCTAAAAGCCATATACTACTTCAGGATGATTTTACGATATCAAATCCAAATATAGCTTTTAATCTATATCTTGTTGCTTTAGATTAGATATTGCGAGCTACTGAACACCAAACCATAAATACAAAGACTGAAATTGTAACATGATATTGGCAGGTATAATGATCTGAATCATGATTTCATTAGAAAATATCCTCTTCAATTTAATCATGCAAAAACTGACAGTTGTCACTAATGTAACTATTTCCCCTTGTTATTGTATTTCTAGCCAGCTTGAATTCGGTTATCAATTTATTTTTATAATGAATTTGTTTTTCAATACACATTTCTTCGCGGTTGCACTCATCTTATATTTGTTTTAATGAGTGCAAATTTCTTTCTTAAGATCTTAGGTGCATTTTGGATTTGGCAAGTCAAGTCATTACGGCCCGACTAAGATTTATGGGAAGCAAATTAATCTTTGGACACGTTTAATATAAAACCGGAATCTTGATTACAATTGTTTTCCCGCTTATATGCTCAATCTTGTGATAATGTAATGGATGCTTTGCCCGTTGTCAGTATTACGTGACCGGGTGAAATGTCCTGCTGGTAGTATACTTCATTCTGGTAACGCTATAACTGTGGGTCTGATGCGAACTATCACTGAGAACCTTACACCTACAACTGCGCTGAATACGTGTTCTCATCTCTCACACATCGGGAGGCCGTCCTGTAACGTACCGGAGGTCTGTACTGTAGAAAGCTATACTTAGATACTTGTATGAACTCAAATGTCCCTGATTGATTCAATGGAAGCCGATAACTGACAGCACAACAGTAGCCAGTTATACATATATCATGCTAAGATAGTTACACTGAAAACACACACAAAATGTGCACGATAAAAATCATACCTTTGAACTACAACTTGATACTATGGCAATGAAAATGATTGAAACAAAGAACGAAGTCATATAAATCTCGCACACTAACGACACATATATCAACGTTGTACATATCGTACTCTACAAAACTGTCTACATCACATTGCCTTAATTCAAAGTTTATAATATACGACTAATTTGTCGTTACCACCACAGAGTTTTCAGTGTTATCAATACAGCAACGTACAGCAACGCATGGACTATCGCTTTCCGTACTTCTCGAGCCATTTTGTTTACAGGTGTCGCGACCAAACAATATATCTCTGGTATAGCACTAGCAACAACAATATATTGTACCACATTTACTCGCAACCTATGTCGTATGGACACACGAAGATTGTACAAATATCTCACAGGAGGATATCACCTTTCTAGAAGCAATATCTTATTAGATGCTGAATGGCCTGATCATGAAGGAACA